GAGGTGGGTAGTTCAGGGTTAGTATGGGAATTACGGAAGGTATCAAGGATCCAGTCTTCTTCCTAGGCACCTGGTTTCTATCTTTGTGGTGCCACTGCAGTGACAGAGAACTGTTGGAGCTCCAGCCATCAGGTCCTAGTCATAGCAAGAAGGAAGTGGAAGGGCAATGGTAGAAAGGCAAAAAATGGCTTGTGGCAGGTGTCTGCCCCCTTTTTAGGAACTTTACCAAAAGTCCAGTGCAAAAATTTTGTAACTCATTGGCCAGAACTTAGTCACATGATCATACCTTTCTCAATGAAAACAGAAAAATATATTTTCTAGGTACCCCTGACTTCTGTTACTAAGCAGAAAGGGGGAATGGTTATTGGGTAGACCACTAGCTACTTCCTGCCATAGTTCCTCTTGAATTTTCTACATATGACATCCTTGTGCTTGGCATTGTCCTTGGAATCAATGAATAAATGAATAAAGCATTTTTAGATAAGTCAAGCAGTTCATGGCATGATCTTTCTTTTTTTTAGTTAATTGGCTTTATTTCTAGAGCAGTGTTAAGTTTATAGAAAATTTGAACAGAGTACAGAGTTCCCATATACCTCTCCCACCCCATCCCACACAGTTTCTTCTATTAATATCTCACATTTTTGTGGTACATTTAAAATTGGTGAACCAATATGATACATTATTACTAACTAAAATCCAAAGTTTACATTAGGGTTTTCCCTTTGTGTTACACAGTCCTATGGGTTTTGACACGTGTAATATCATATAACCATTATAGTATCATACAGAAGTTTCCCTGTTCTAAAAATCATGTGTTCCATCTATGTACCCCTTACTTCCTCCTTAGGAACCCTTGGTACCACTGACCTTTTTACTGTCACCAAAGTTTTACCTTTTCCAAGTAATGTCATATAGTTGGAATTATACAGTTCTCAGGCTGGCTTCTTTCACTCAGTTATATGCATTTAAGTTTCTTCCATGTCTTTTTGTAGCTGGACAGCTCATTTCTTTTTATTGCTGAATGAGAGTCCATTGAATAGCTGTACCGCAGTTTCATGACCCATTCCTTGATTGAAGGAATCTTGGTTGCTTTCAATTTATGACTAATATGCTATAAACATTTGTGTGCAGGTTTTTTGGTAGACTTGTTTTCAACTCATTTGAATACTTAGGAGCATGATTGCTGAATCATGTGGTAAAACTATGTTTAGCTTTCAAAGAAACTGATGAAGTATCTTCAGAAGTAACTGCTATGTTGCATTCTCACCAGCCATGGGAGTTCCTGTGGATTTTAGCTATTCTAATAGGATTCAGCCATTCAGTGAGATCCTGGTATCTCACTGTGTCTTAATTTACAATTCCTTAATAACGTGGTGTTAAACATCTTTTCATATACTCATTTGGATATCCCAATCTTCTTTGATGAGGTGTCTAATCTGATCTTTTATTCACTTTTTGATTTGCCTGTTGAGTTTCAAAAGTCCTTTGTATATTCTAGATAACAGTCCTTTATTAGATATGTTTTGCAGATATTTCCTCCCAGTCTGTGGCTTTTCATTTTCTTGTCTAATCAATTTTTTAACAAAGTTGTTCGTATTTTCTAGTTTCTTAAATCTCTACTGTACTTTGTTATGTCTCCCCTTTTAGTCCTAATATTATTTGTTGCTATTTCTCTTTTAACTGGATCAATCTTACAGAAATTTTATTAGTCTTTTCAGAGGTCTAACCTTAGTTTTTCTATATTGCATCTTTTTTCTATTTTATTAATTTTTGTTTGATCTTTTTCTATTTTAGATTTATTATTTTTTTATTAAGCAGATCACATAAATTTTTTGCTTTTCTTATTTTTTAGTGTAAAAGCATAAAAGGTTAATTTACCTATATCCTATAAATTTTCACATGTAGTATTTTTTATTACTGCTGAAATCTAGTATTATGTATTTCCATTGGGATTTCCTCTTTGATCTTTGCTATTAAGGTGTTTTTAAAAATCTCAAAATATGTGGTTTCAAAAATAATTTTATTTCTAACTTAATTGTAATATGATCGGAGAATGAGATGACAGAAATTTTTTGCAATTTGCAGAAAGTTGCTCAATAGCCTAAATAAAAATTTTCTTAAATCTTCCTTGTATATTTTTAAAGTATGTGTGTCCTCAAGATGCTGGGCACAGAGTTCTATATATGTTTCCTTATAAAATGTTAGTTAATAGTGTTGGAGATGTGCCTGCAAAGACTGGTGATTCTTGGTATCTTTCCATATTTACAAGTGCTGTAGACTGAATGCTTTGTGTCCCCTCAAAATTCATGTGTTGAAAACTAACCCTCAATATAATGGTATCACTTCCTAGATTAGGTCATGAGGGTGGAGCTCTCATGAATGGGATGAACTCCTTAAAAAAGAGATCCAGGAGAGTGAGTGCCCTATCCCTTTAAATTGAGGACACAGTGAAGATAGCTTCTATAAACCAGGGAGCAGGTACTCACCAGACTAAAATAAATCTGTTGGTGCCTGGATCATGGACTTCCCAGCCTCCAGAACAGTGGGAAATAAATTTCTGTTCTTTATAAGCTACCCAGTCAATGGTATTTTGTAATAAGACTAAGACTGAGCGGACTAAGACAAAGAGTAAGGTACTGAAAAGGAAATTCTTTATGTACAGATAGGCCTTGTTGACTGGGTCTTCAATGTAGGGTGATTGCTTATGGACTGGACACTTCATTGTGTATAGAGGAGGAGCAATTTTTTCCTCTACCCTTCTAGGTTTTTCTGGCTGATCTACTACTTAAATTGACATGACAGATTAACAGGAGAAAAACAAACTTAATTATGTACATATGAGAGCCCCATAAGAATGTAAAACCCAAGGACAAGTCTGGCAATTGAAGCTTAGATGCCATTCTGAGCTAAGGAATAGGATAGGTGCCTGGGACTTCAAAGGGAAGAATTGTAATTCACAGGGCCATAAGAGCAAATGTTTGGTAACTAGATGTTTGCCTTGCCATAGAGATAAGTCACTCGGATAAAAAGCTATCTCTGGTTAGGCCCCTATCTAAATTCCTTTAGGTGGCTAAGGGAGAAGTAAAAGTTTTTCTTGAATCTGCTAGGTAGGTCTTGATTGCCTTCAGCTCAAAATAATCCACAGGCCAAAGTGACATTTTTGGGGTCACATATTCTGCTACCCCTCAGTGGGATCCCTCAAATATCAATATTCTGCCAGACTAACCTAATTTCTAAAATTATACTGACCTTTATTTGTCTGGTATTATCTCCTTTCCTGTTCTTTTTCTTTGGGTTTTTAACTTTCCAGTCCTTTTCTTTCATTAAAAAAAAAAAAAACCTTTCTATAGAAATATATATATATATATTCAGAAAAGTGCCCACCAATATGCAACCTGAACACATGTAAACCAGCACTCAGATTAAGATAACATTATTAGCATTTCATGAACCTCCCCATGTTCTCTTCCAGAGTCATTATTCCACCTATAGTAATCACTACACTGACTTCTAGCAGCTTGACTATTTGGGTAGTTTCCAATTTAGGCTACTACAAAGTATAGGTATGAGCTTTTGAATATGTCCTTTTAGTGAATATATGTACACATTTCTGTTGGGTATATACCTAGGAGTGAAATTGCTGGGACAAAGGCTATGCATATATTCTGCTTTAGTTGTTATTGCCAAACAATTTAACAAAATCATTGTACCAATTTATGTTTCCTTTAACAGCATATGAGAGTTCTGGTTGCTCCACAATCTTGCCAATACTTGGTGTTTTCTGTTTTTTTTTTATTACAGCCTTTCTGGTGTGCATGCAATGGTATCTCATAGTGGTTTTAATTTGCATTCCTCTTTACTTCTTTGGTTCATTTTTCAGATGTTTCAGGATTGAGCATATTAAAATGTAGGGGGTTAATCTGGGTACATCTGCCAGAAATTTCCCCCTTACCGGTATTTATCTAATGGAACATAAAACCTTTTTTCCTGTACTGGAGACAATATAAATCTAGAGGATGATGGCAACAAGCTTTGCAATCAGACATACTGAGGTCTGAGTCCCAACTCTAATGCTTACTTGCTCAGTTACCTTGAGAAATTTAACCTTTCTCCATTTAATGTAAAATGGCACTAATAATAGTACTGCTTCAGGAGGTTGTGATGAGGATTAAATGAGAGAAAATATGTAACACACTTTGCAAAGTTCCTAGCACATAATCAGCAAATGGTAGCTATTATTTTACCTATTGTTTATGCACATCTCATTTCTCCTTGTTTTATACAGTCTACAACAAAGCAAAAGCTCATCACTCTGTAGCTGCCTCATGTTTAATAGGCTGATACTGGCTGAATGAATGGTTTTAAATATAAACGTTATGTATCGTGGTTATTGTTATAAAAGATGGCGCACATTATAATGGCTATAGTATAAAATACGCTGCTGAGGAATACATTATTTCAACAAGTGTCTCTCCTATTTACATTCATCATTTAACAGTTAAGAAAATTAATGCAGCAGAGAAACACTACCCGAGCTCATTAGTAATGGCAGTTAGATGTCCCATCTTGCATTAGTGAGAATTCCAGTCTTCTCCAGTTAAAACAAAAACAAAAACACTACTGTTCTGAAGACACGTTAAACCTTTTCAATTTTAACAGATCCTTTTGTTCAATTGTGGAGAAACTGGGCAGGCAACAGCTGCTCCAGCAGCTTCCGTGCAAGATGGCGCCGCCCATTTGTACACAGCGGCGGTTACGTGTTCCTAACCCATCGCAAGACCGGAAGTGGTTTTGGCCCTACTGGATCCGGGTGGGTACGTGCAGGTGGCCGAGGAGGGTTCCAGTTCTTCAGCGTGAGGTGCCGCAGGTGTTCAGGTAGGGTCTGGGGCCGCAGGTGAGCACCGGAAACCGGCGAGGCCTTTCACTGGGCTTTTGAAAGCAGTAAAGGGGGCTTGTAGTGCAGACTGAGGAGCAGGGTCGTGGAGCTGACGATGTCACTGTGTGCGGGGGCGACTGACTGTGCGGACCCCGTCGTTCCGAGCGACTTAGCCCTGCCTCTTTCCCCATCCCCGCGCGGCCTCTGCGCTCCCCTCGCCCGAGGCGGGAGCGGTTCAGCCCCCAGGTGCGCAACAAGTTTTCTCCTGGGTAGGAAACTCCCCCAAGCCCTCCAGTGGCGGCTCCCTCGAACCCCCTTCCTGTATCTTTAGGAGTACCTGCCAAACCTTCGTGGCTTCTTGACCCGATCAGCTTAGGTGGCACCTTTCTCAGCACCTGGCGACTCCTTGCGTGCTGCATGCGTCCACAGAGTTCCCTCTCGATTCGTGGGGATCTACACCCGCCCGCCCGTTGTTACCACCCCTTTCCTCCCAGACCACACCCTTTGCTCTGGGCCTTACTGGGAGCCATCTGTCTTTTCTCATCCCTGGGATAGATCAGAGCTAGAACCTTAAAAATTGTGTATTACAAAATTGATACCTGCTCATGAAAATACAAACTTTTATATGCTTTCTATATACAACTGAATGCAAACAATCTCCCTCAGATACCCAGTCCTTGAAAACACTGCTGTTTATACCGTATTTTTTATTAGTAATACAAGGATAGAAGAAACTTCACTGAAACGTTTTGTTAATTATCAGAATGAGGAAGTGCGGGAGAAAAGTGGTTTTGTATGGGGAAGGAATGATTAATTTTGGTCAAGGTGAGCTTGTTTTTAAAGTGCACTTTTTAATATTTATTTTAGTCGTACTCTATGGAATCTTGTAAAACATTAATATAAAGATTTTAAGTAAAATGGTCCCCCTTAGCCCAACTCGGTTTCGATCTCCATCTTTTTTCTTCTTTAATCTCTTTCCCCAAAGTAAGAACTGTTACCAGTTTGGGGTGTGTCTTTCTATTTCTTTTTCTTTACCTTTATTGACAGGTGTTTGTATCTATAAGATACATGTATGTAAGATTTCACGTTAAACTTCAACAAATGCATATTTTACAAATATGGTGTATTGTACTTACTTAGAAACTTGACCTTTTATGCTTACAATGGGTCTTGGAAATTTTTGTCAATATGTAGAGATATACCTTATTCTATCTGCTTGCTCTGTAAATTTCAAAATATGTTAAGATTCCATAGTGTATGAGATTCCATAGATTACTCACAGGTAGGTCACAGGTATCAATCATTTTACCGCATGTATTTTGTATTTTGTGACAATCATTCCTTACCCCTGTGGTTCTCAAATGGGGGATGAACATCAGGAGACATTTTCTGTTTGTCCAGCTGGGGTGGTGGTGTTACTGGCATGTAGTGGGTAGGAGCCAGAGATGCTTCTAAGCTATGATGCACATGAAAGCCCCACAACAAGAAATTTTTCTGGCTTAAAATGTCAGTGGTGCTGAGGATGAAAACCCCTGCTCTATCCTAAGGCAGAGCAGAGTTTTTCTCTTATGACTATTTTCTCCTATAAGTTTTTAAATATGTGTTTGAGTTTTTCTTTAATTCCTCTATGTGTGTGTTTGTGAATGATGTGTGCATAATTATTGTTCTCCAAACAGTGTCACTTTAAATATTTCATTCATTCTTGACCCATTAATCTGAAACGCTACATTTATCATGTACTAGTTTCTCACACAGTCTGTTTTTGGACTGTCTTTTGTTCTATGGCCTACTTTTTTGTTTTGCTGGACCAATAACCGCAATGTCCTATATTAAATATATATTATACTTTGATATATAATAAATACTCCCTCATAATTATTATTATTATTGGGACTTGTATACTTTATCGGCTCACATACTTGTTCTTTAAAAACAATATTTTGGGGCTAGTCTTACAATAGCTTTTCCAGATTAACTTTAGAATCAGCATGTCAAATAGTTTTTTAAGTGTCTTTACTGAGGTGTAATTCACACAATCATTTTTAAAGTGTACAATTCAGTGACTATATTCATAGTTGTGCACCATCGCCACAATCTAATTTTAGAACACTTTTTCACCCCCAGAAGGAACCCATACGTATTAGCCATAATTCTCCTTCTCATTCCCCAATACCCTAGTCACTAATCTTTCTGCCTTTACAGATCTGAATGTTTCATATAAATGGAATCATACAATCTGTGTTATTTTGTGACTGGCTTCTTTCACTCAGCATAATGTTTTCAAGGTTCATCCATGTTGTAGCATGTATCAGTAGTCATTCCTTTTTATTGCTCAATAAAAGTCCATCCTATAATAAGTTTGTTTCACAGGGCTATAGTATCAAAGACCACAAACTGGATGGTGTAAAAGAAGAGAAATGTATTCACTCCCAGTTCTGGGGGTTGTAAAGTCCAAAATCAAGGTGTCAGCAGGGCTGTGCTCTCTCTGAGGGCTCTAGAGGAGAAACTTTTCTTGCCTCTTCCTAGCTTCTGGTGGTTGCCAGCAGTTCTTGGCATTTCTTGGCTTGCGGCTAACTCTAAACTCTGCCTCTGTCTTCATGTGTCCTCCTTCGCTGAGTGTCTGTCTGCACATGTTAATTCTCTCTGTGAGTCTTTCTCTTTCTTTTCTCTCCTCTTCATGTAAGGACACCAGTTATGTTGGATTAAATGCCCACCCTACTCCTTCATGACCTCATTTTAACTTGATTGTATGTGCAAACACCTTATTTCCAAGTAAAGTCACATTCACAGGTACAGGGTGGGGTTTAGGACTTCTAAACCAATTAAAATTGGGCAAGGATCAATAGACATTTTTTGGTGGGACACAATTCAAGGCATAACTTTTGGTTATGCCATGTTTCATTTAACCGTTCATTGGCTGACAGGTGTTTGGATTGTTTCCGCTTTTTGGCTCTTATGAGTAATACTGCTGTGAACTTTTGTCTGGATATGTTTTCATTCCTCTTGGATATATACCAAGGAGGGGAATTGTTGGGTCATATGGCAACTCTGTTTAATCATTTGAGGAACTGCCAGACTGTTTCCCAAAGCAGCTGCACCATTTTACATTCCCACCAGCAATCTATGATTCTCCATATTGTTGCCATCACTTACCTGTCTTTTTGATTAGAGCCATCCTAGTGTGTGCGAAGTGGCATCTTGCTGTGATTCTGATTTGTATTTCCCTAATAGCTAGTGATGTTGAGCATATTTTCATGGACTTATTGGCCATTTGTAGTCTATCTTGTTTGAAGAAATGTCTATTGAGACCCTTGTCCAATTTTAATTGATTTGTCTTTTTATTATTGAGTTATGAGGTGTGTTTTTTTTTTTGTATATTCTAGATTCATGCCCTTGCCAGATAGATGATTTGCAAATATTTTCTCCCATCCTGTGGGTTGTCTTTTCACTTTCTTGATGGTCAGTTCATTTTTTTTAAAGATTTTCAAAGTTAAGTTTGCAGTGAATTTGTGTATTATTTTGAGTGTTTCTGTAAAATGATTAATCTTTTTTATCATAAAAATGGGGCAGTTACAGTCCCTTCTACAGAAAATGGTTGAAAGATTAAATGAATAATGTATAAATATATGAGTATAAATACATGTAAAGTGCATGGAACATGTCATATGCTCTGTAATTGATAGCTGTTATAATACATCTCGGCTCTTCCTGTCTTATATATCTTCAGTAAAGTTTTCTATGTTTTGTCATATTGATCTTGCACATTTCTTTTTGAGTTTATACCTTGGTTTATTGCTGTATTTGGTTGTTTGGGGGTACTTTTTAAGTAATGTATATTGTTAGTATGAATGGGGTTTTCTTTGTATTTTTATAGTGGGTTTAGAACGCTGTTGGTTTTATGTTCATAAACTTTCAAAATTGGAAGTTGTAAAAGTTATAACATGTTTACTTATCCAGATGATTCTGATAGCCATTCTGTAAGGAACTGTGGTTCTTTTAGCTTCTGCCTTCTTCTGCCCTGATTTGGATCTTCTTTCGCTCTTGGCTCTACTATTGTGTCTTCTGATGGGTCTTCCTCCCTCTAGCCCTGCCCTTCTCTAGTCTAGCACCCACACAACCTCCATGGTTCTTTGACATATGAGTCTTATTCTATCACTCCTCTTAGAGGTCTGTTATTGTCTCTCCATTAACTATAAGGTTGTATGTTGTAGGGTAATATAAGGCCCCTTATGACTTGACCTGTACCTGCTCATTCCAGCATCATCTCTATTTCCTTACTTGCACATTATGCTGTAGCAAGTTCTGTCCAGTAGAAATATAATGTGATGTCCATAAATGAAGTTTTCTAGTAGCCATGTTAAAACTATAAAAAGAACAATGTGGATTTAATATTAATAACATTTTACTTAACCCAGTATATCCAAAATACTATTTCAACATAGATATAAAAAATATGGAATTACAGAGATAGAAGGCACAGTAGAGGTTACTAGGGATTAGAGGAAGGGGGAAGTTCTTGTTTAGTGAGTACACAGTTTGTGTTCGGGATGATGAAATGCTTGAAATGGATGGTGGTGATGGTTGCACAACATCATGAATGTAGTTAATGCCACTGAATTGTATACTTAAAAATTGTTAAAATGGTCAATTTTGTGTTATGCATATTTTACTACAATAAAAAGTTCACCTGAAGAAAATCTATGGAAATTATCAATAATGTGTTTTCACTTTTTTTATAGTACAGTATATGTTAAATTTGCTTGAACTTTTTCACCTATACCATGATGCTTCATGCCTTTGTACCCCTGCTCACACTGTTCCTTCAGCCTGGAGTGCCCTTCTCCTTTTTGCCCAGTGCACCTGGAGAACATTGCTGATGCTTTTTTATTATTATTATTATTTATTTTTTTGTTTTGGAATCATTAATCTACAATTACATGAGGAACATTATGTTTACTAGACCCCCCCTCACCAAGTCCCCCCCACATACCCCATTAGTCACTGTCCATCAGCATAGTAAGATGCTGTAAAATCACTACTTGTCTTCTCTGTTGCACAGAGCCTCCCCATCGTTGCTGATGTTTTAATGCCAGTACCATCTCAGATAATCATCTTTCTCAGCGTTTCTCTTACTACTGCCCCACTCTTTGCTCTTTGCCAGCCCTGTCCTTGTGTGTGCTGCTGTTGTTCTCAACTGTATTGCAGCTCCCTCATTGCATGTATCTCTACTTTTCTGCATCCTGAAT